CAACCTGTCTCTTATACACATCTAGATGTGTATAGTATGGGGGTATTGGGGGCCGCTATGGGGGTGTTGGTGGGGTTAATTGGGGTTCTGGACCGAAAGAAAAAGACTCTTTTTTTGCGGGGTGCCGACGACCCCCAACCGGTAGGTGCCGACCAGCCGACCGGTCGGCGGGTCGGCAGTCACCCGGTCAAGGCCCGCCGATCATCGGGTATGCAATACTGCTTTCTTATCTTTTCAGCTTTGCAGCTCTACCATATCTGGATGAATCACCAGGGCGTCCCGCATTCATCTGGGGCCATATCCTGCAGCAGCGGCTTGCTCATTCTATCTGATTGCATGAATGTTTTTTTTGCTTTCTTATCTTTTCAGCTTTGCAGCTCTACCACAACCGGATGAATCACCAGGGTGTCCCGCAGTCGTCTGCGACCATATCCTGCAGCAGCTAGTTGACCAGACGTACGCCATTCATCTCCGATTGGTCCCGCGATCAGTGTGGTCCCATTGCTGGCGTTTCATAATCGCGGTGATGGCACAAGCATCAGATCATTTCTATCCGACACCGATGAGTAATAGCTGGCCATGCCTTGCGGCTGCCACCTGGTCGTTCATCCTACTCTCATTGATATGCTTCGGGGGCGCAGATCGCGCGGAGGGCATCTTCTCTGCAAAGATCGGCAAGGTCACTTTTCCTGACCAGGTGCAAGATCCAAAGTTCCGAGTGAGGTTTCTGTCGGAGAAGAGCGCGATAAACAGACGTGAGAAGCTTATGGCGGCGCATCCGGACCAAACCATCATGATGACGGATAAGAAGGGCAAGAAGTTCATGTGTCTTCTTCCCCACCGCACTCACGGTGACGGCACCGGGAGGGGCGCCGGAGATTTCACTCCAGGGAATGTAACAGAAGATAATACTACTCCGTTGAAACCCGAACAGTCCGGGTCTGATGACTTCAGGTCGTCCGCCAAGTCGGCAGAGGATCTGCTGAGTGCGCTACGAGGGCAATGTTTCCATGTAGTGATCGACTATTGGTGGACCTACGAATACTGCTTCAAAAAGAGTTTGCGACAGTATCATCGCGACAACAACAAGATTGCGCAAGAGTTTCACTTGGGAAAGTACGATAAAGAGGCGACAGCAGCACTCCAAGCGTCTTCGCCTGAGGCATTTGTGCAGAAGGATCTGCAATCCCACTCCTCGGAGAGCAGGTACCACGTGCACATGATGACGAATGGAACGCCCTGTGACCTGACCGCTAAGCCAAGGCAGACAGAGGTCAGGTTCTTTTGCTCTGACTCGGCCACCGGCATCTCACCGGCCATCTCTGACTCAAATTTTGCAATAGAAGAGCCATCGACGTGCTCGTATGTCTGGACGATCTACTCTCCCCACTTATGCAAGAACCCAGTTTTTCAGCAGAAAAAGAAGCCTCTGAACACCATTGAGTGTTTCCCGCTTGGGGAAGGGAACCTCGAACAGGCTGTTGCAAGATCGTGAGTCAAAAAAAATTTGAAACTTGAAAAGTGTCTAGCGAGGAGAGCAACGAGCTGTCACGAGTGTGCAATGCTGTGTACACTTCAATTCACGAGTGCATGAAAAAGCTTGTTTCTTGCATGAATGCTACTTATATGAAAGAAACCAAACCACCTGGGTCTGTTTCTGCTAAGGACAACCTTTTCACACTACCCGGTACTAAACGAGGATTTTTCGTTATTTCGTTCTTTTTCTTCTTCTTCTCCTCTCTCTCTCTCTCTCTCTCTCTCTCTCTCTCTCTCTCTCTCTCTCTCTCTCTCTCTCTCTCTCTCTCTCTTGCTATGGGTGATGCAATCTCTCTGTCGCACAGTGATTGTTGCTAATCGTGCTATGCTCAACCGCACTGTGGTCTTCTCTTCTCACGAATCCAAGTGCTTTAACAAAGGTACGTCAAAGTGGTGGATGCCCAGAGAGTTTTTTGTTGAGGATGCATATGAGGGAGTGCAGCCATTTACCAGCAGGAAGTACTGGTGGTGTCACTGTTTCCCATGTGCCCACAGAAAAAGTGACAAGTGAGTTTTGCTTGGCCATCTCATGGTAGGCAGGGATAGCCAAGAGGTGGCAGGGGAAAGGGGGGGAACCCAGGAGAGTTAGAGAGGGAGAGAAAAAGCTAGCGACTTTGTCGGTCTGTTGGCTAAAAATATATAAAGTGTAGTATGTTATGATCATGACCAATTTCGAGATACACATCCATCAGATAGTACAATGCCGGCCAATTGCAGAAACAAATGAATGAACTTGAGAGGAGAGAGAGGATTAGAAGAAGAAGAAGAAGAAGAAGAAGAAGAAGTAAGAAAGAAGAAGAAGATGACATACACCAGCATAGACAAATGACAAGGCTCTTCTTGTTCGCCCAACAACCTCCTCCTCCTTATCTCCCCCTTCTCTTATTCATACAAGAAATAATAATACAATGTTGAATGGCTGATCCAGAATCAATGTCCAAGTTCCTCTTCTACTGCCGGCATCACTTGAGGTCCACCATAGCCATGGCCGCCTCTTCCTCCCTTCATCATCATAGGCCAAGGCTATGGCGGACTACTAGGCCTTTTGCCCAGATGCCCAAAGGACAACCCGAAGCAGCTATGGCTGCTCCACTCAGGCCGCCATGCCCAACCCTGCCTTGAAGCTTCTTGGTGTAGCTCTCCCCAGTTGGGGACTCCCTGCTGCAGCGCCCACCAAGGTGATGAAGATGGCTGCCACCATAGCCAGGTCAGTACCCCTGGCGCTCCTCCCCCTTCCTGTCCTTCTTCCTCCTCCGTGTCCTTCTCCTTCCCCAGCAGCACTGCTCCTCGATAGCACTGCTCCAACCGGTGCTCGAACCAGTGTGCTGCCAAACTTGCACACCGAGAAAGAGGCCGGGCTCTTCGCCCGGCTGGGAGATTCAGCGGCCTGCTTGCCTCTTCGGGCGGTGACTTCGAGGCCGCTCGGCCTTCCAAGCAACCGGTCCCTCCTCCCTCTCTGAGGGAAACATCATAATGATTGCAGACTCCGATATTGCCTGTACAGGCCCTAGACCCAGACTGGTTGGACTGGTATCCGCCTAGGCCTAACCTACAACTACTGGGCCTCTTCAAAATGCCACTTTTGTCTTCTTCTGCTTGGCCTCCAGTACCCGCACATCTACCTCTTCAAGGTGCGGTACCGGCCTACCCGCTACTTGAGTGTTTTTCCCGCTGCAATCCTTCAATGTCACGGCCACAGGTAAGTACCGGCCCTGAGGGCCCAATGAACGAGCAAGTGCCCTTGCGGGCCCACACACACACTCAAGCCAACCAGCACTCACACAGGCACGGCCACACACACACTCGAGCCAACCAGCACTCAGACAGACATGCAGCCCAGCAAGCGTGCACACACAGACTTAGTAGCAGGCGGGAAACTCAGCAAGGCACATTCAGTCTATGGGCAAAACTCAGAAATCAGTCGTGTGTTTCAGTCCATGTTTGGACGGGTCATCACAAGTCTCTGTTCTTGTTTTTCTTTTTTCTTTTTTCTTTTTTCTTTTTTTTTTCTTCTGAATACAGCTCTCTTCTCCTCATATGGGGGACTGTTGCGCATTTTTACCTAACCTATTTTAGTGTTTCCTTCTCTTTTTGCCTCACACTAGCTACCCCTATCTATGTCCTGCCCACAAGCCCCACTAGGTAGAGAATGGATCACATCCCTTAAGGTATATAGAGAGAACCTTAAATCTGGTAATCAGGCCTGGACAATCCTAAGGTTATGGGTCTATGACTACCTAACTCTGCTCTGTGGGGGGAGAGGAGCAGAACCCAAGCTCCTAACTCCTGGCGTGGTCTGGAAAGAATGCCGACTTCCACGACCAGCCAGGAGGGACAAGCCGATGCAGGCAGTCGTGGGGAGTCGAATGGAGCCGAGTCGGATGGAACAGAGCAGTGACACGACCGTCTTCACCCTAATTTAACGCCCGGTCATTATACCTGTATTTGGCCCAACTTCAGTCTTGATGCAGCAAGCAATAATGATGGCGTGTTCTATTTTGGGTGAAGGCGGTCGCAGGTCCCTTGCTTGACAGATCACTAAAAAAAATGAAAAAGCGATGTCGAGGGCGAGGGGGCGGTTGACCGGGGTTGGAGGAGGAGGGCTCTCTCAGGCAGCTCTGCTGCTGGGCAGTCAATCCCCCCCAGTGGGGGGTAATCAATGCCTTTTTTTTCTATTTCTTTTTCGACTTTTTTTTTTTTTGCTGCTCATAACAACAGATACACGCCCTAATCTTGCAGATGGGATGCTGCACCCGGTTTCCAGCAGGTGCACCTCCCCCTCCCCTCCAACAGGTCGGAGCCATCTATAAGCAGGAGCCTATGATTGGAGGATGCCCTTGTCCCCTCCAATACTACCGTCTTCACCCGAATGGAACGCCCGGTCATTATATAACTCTATTTGGCACAACTTTCGGTGCAGATGCAGCGATAATGACCGGGCGTTCTATTCGGGTGAAGACAGTAGCCTGCCCACAGGTGTCCGGAAAAAATAAATAAATAAAAAATAAAATAAAAATAAAGCATCGCTTGGTGGTGTAGAAAACAGTAGAATTGCAAATACTGGTGGCCTTTTGGCCTGACCTTTTTCAGAGCTCCCTAGCGCTCAATTGACTACCCCCTTCCCCCGAAAACAAATGTATGGTCACTATGCCTGCATTTGGACCAAGTGTCAGTTCAGATACAGAGTGGTAATCACAGTACGTCCTATTCAGGGGAAGAAGGTTAGTCGATAAGACGATGCTATCGTGCTTGCCTTGCTGTTGCTTATACCGCCACACTGCACCACGTGCGAGACCGCCGCGCTGCACCACTTGCGAGACGCCAACATTCTCAATGTATAGAGGGAGAGAAGAAGCACCCACTGCTATATATGCTAATTGTGCACAGTTTTGAATTTCCCAATGCTTGCACGAGGGTTCCAAAATCCATGCACTTTTTTTTTTTTTTTTTTTTTTTTTGGTGGTTGTTGTTGTTGCTACGCACATTATGTGTGAGTGGATTACCTGTTGTTGTTTTTTTTTCAATTTATTTTATGAAAAAAAAAAGCCCAGGTTGTTGGAGAGGTTGGATTCTAGATATATGACAGTCGCCTTTCAGTAGTCAGCCATCTGGTTTGTTTTTCAATCCATCTGGATTGTTTTTTTCTCCATCCGAGACCTTCTCACTCCCTACCGCATAACCATACTTCCCAGTGCACCCCTGATTGTAATTTATCGCAAGCTTACATAGTTTATACCTGTTCCTTTTTTTTTCTTTTCTTTTCTTTTTTCTCCCCCCCCCCCCCCCCCCCCCCCTCCCTCCCCCCACACACACACACACACAAAACCAACCATTCCAGTATANACACACACACACACACAAAACCAACCATTCCAGTATATGCCGGAAATCGGTTCCGTCATCCCTGGTATATAAGTAAATTCTGTAAACGTCGTACTAAACGATGTTCGGGTATATTCAAAATGTTGGCGTTTGGAGTGGTGTGGCAAGGGCCATAGCCTATGTGATGAGGGTGGATGAAATCAGTGGGCTATCCCTTAAAGTCTATTAGCCACAGGCCCAGGGGCCAAGTCCCACCAACAGCGTTGAGTTTCCTCAACACCTGAATCTGGTCGTGTTTGTGGAGATGTGCAGAAATGGCATTGAGTTTTCTCAACTGCATATCGCCACAAACACGACCAGATTCAGGCGTTGAGGAAACTCAACGCTGCTACTGGGACTTGGCCCCAGCGCCTTAGCACGCATTTTACAGGTGACAGTGGGCAGAGTAAAGAGGGACTAGTCCTTTTTTTATTCTTTTTTTCAGGTCACTCTTTTACCTCCTCTTCCTCTTCATATTGCGGACTCTAGAAAGAGTATTTTCCCCAAGCTTTGTTTCTCCTAGACTGTTGCTATTCGGTACATCATGTCTCTTGCTTCAAGTCCACAGAATATCTGCAATAGATATTGTGCCTGGCAATGAATGGATAGTTGTCTTGCCAGAAACAGTCAATTGTCCTGTCTCTTATACACATCTAGATGTGTATAAGAGACAGGATAGTTGTCTTGCCAGAAACAGTCAATTGTCTTTTAACTTTCAAGTTAAAAAAAAAAAAAAAAAACATTCAATTGTGCTTGGCATGGTGCAGTCAAAGAGCGGAAAAACAAAAAGTTAAAAGAAGAAAAAAAAAAATTGTGAGTGGGCAAACAAGTTTTGACACTATCAACTTTGAGGATTTTTTATTTTGTTTTGGCTAAACAGCATGACTTCAAAATTAAGCGGGAGATACCTTCTGTCTCTTATACACATCTAGATGTGTATATCTGCTCGGCCTCCAGTACCCGCACATCTACCTCTTCAGGGTGCGGTACCGGCCTACCCGCTACTTGAGTGTTTTTCCTGCTGCAATCCTTCAATGTCACGGCCACAGGTAAGTACCGGCCCTGAGGGCCCAATGAACGAGCAAGTGCCCTTGCGGGCCCACACACACACTCAANGGGAGGAGGTAGGGGTTAGGCGAGCATAAGAGAACAAGGGGGATGGGGGATGGTGTGATGGGGGAAGAAATTGCACCCACTTTTGTCAAGATGATGCACCTTGGTTCGGGTCTTTCTTGATTGATGTTTGAAGACTGAAGTTGTGAATCCGTGATGTTCGTCGCAACTATCCTGCACAATAAGTAGCCGTACTCCCCCACCGTCTTTCTTGATTGAAGTTTGAAGGCTGAATTCGTGAAATCGTGATGTCCGTCGCAATTATCATGCACATGTAGGTAGTGGCCGTACTCCCCCACCGTGAACAGTCCCCTGACACGGGGCCCCAAGGGGAGCCGGCTCCCTTACACGTTGCTTGTCACAAAAAAGTTGTTGTCAGCTTCCGCCGTGATGAAGTGGTCATCCCGCTCACTGATCTT